TTTCAGAAAATTTACACAAAATCTTAATGAATAATACATCTAAACCTTCCCCATAATCACATCACTCCCTCCATTGATTAAAACCGTATGAAAATCTTTCGATAGTTTTTGAGTTTATCGCATTTAGACAGATAGACAGACGTAGTGGAAGGACTTTGTTTTGTTATATGTAGTGATGTAAGCTATATTAAAGTAAAAATAAGTTATGCAACATAGAATTATATACTTTTAACATGATTGTTATTCACAATAGTATATACAATTTTCATTAAAGTTCTTAAGTGTTGATTTACCTTCTTATATAAACGATGAATAAAAGACGGCGGCCTTTCAATTTCACTGCTGAGATGAAAAGTCTTCGAAGAACAAAGACATTAAAAAAATCTTTTTTTGACGCGTTCCAGCAATTATAATATCAAAAGAATTTACTTTTAGACCATTAAAATATTTTTCTCTAGAAGTTCATCTGTGCTTATTAAAGTTTATGACCACTCGAGAACTTAATATATTTATTGTTAACTAGCATTGCCCACGGCTCCGCCCGCGTTCAGATGACCAAAAGCCTAATTCTTAGGTTTACATATTAGTATACTCTTACAATGCAGTTTTTGTGTTTTTGTATTTTTTCTCAGAAATGAGATATTTTCCCGCGGTAAAAAGTAGCCTATATGTTGACACGGATAACCAGCTATCATCATACCAAATTTCATCAAAATCTGTCCAGTGGTTTTCTCGTGATGCAGTAACAGACAGACAGACAGACAAAAATTCTAAAAACTATAGATTCGGACTCTGTATCGATAATAATGTCTATTTAAATTAGATTTTTCAAAAAATATTTAATGTACAGATTCGACTTAGTTACAATTTTATTATATGTATAGATTTAGACTATATTAATTCATTTTCTAAACAATTTTAATTTGCTCGTACAGTCAATGAGTCATATTTCTTTACTTCTTCTTGAGAGCTTTTTAATTTTCTGGAGTCACTTCTAACTAAACATATCTCATTTAAAGAAATCATTTAAATTAATGCCAAGATCCAAGGTTATTTCGTGAATATGATCTCACGAAAATATTAGCTGCTTTCGACCAAAGCTTGCGATTAAGTAGAAAAACTGAAAAGAAAAGAAGTCGACACAAAAAGTCTGTTAAAACATTGATCATGTTTCTCAGAGAGAAGGAATACCTGCGTCAAATTAACTACGCTCATAAATCTTCTCTGCTTAAGATTTTTTACAGAAATATGATCTCTTATATAGCTTAAGTAAGTATTTTATTGTATCATTATTTTTTTTATGAAAAGATATTTTCATTAAATAGTTCCACACTATTTAAGTTGTTATTTCTATTGTGCGCTTAATTTATGAATCTATTCAAATATCATACTGGACAGTGGACGTACGATACGTGGTGTGAACAGAGCGCTTTGCTGTGTAATAAGCGATTTTTTAATCTATATATCCACAAACATATTGTTAATTGGTTGTACTTCAGTAGGTATATATATATGAATAGCATGAAATGTTTGTTAATTCTAATTGTGTATTCCATATTCGAAGACCGAATCAGAAAATCTCACATATGTACGTAGCCAGACTTAAATACATTTTTTTGATATCATTGGAGAAACAAATCATGAATGGTTGATAATATTTATGGAGGAGCCCTGTTGGCCGTAAACAGACATGGGACTGTTAGATTCGTACTCAGTTAAATTCTGTACGAACTCTACGAAAACGATAGTGACATATTGTAGGTTTGCTTGCGCTTGTGCAATAGTCCCCTGCGAGCTTTTAGTAATTCTTTTATTCTTTTGAATATTGAAAAACACACTTTACAACAGGTGGTTATGTGATTTAGAGTTATTTAGTTGCTAAGCCACGATGGTTCGAAAGCTGGCTTACCGGGTAGGTCACTTTCCGTCGTCAACAAGAACCAGGGGGTTACTCACATAGTCCTGAGACTCAGGCTACTGAGCTTCACCACCGACAAGTGCCTAAGAATGCCTTTCTAAGCTAAGTCAGGATTATTACTCGCTAAGATCTCGTATCTGAATAAATACCATTTATAAAGCCGCAGACATAGTTTAAAAAATAAAAAAAAAATAAAAAAAAATTCACTGAGTTATATAATTTTTACTAACGAAAATAGTTTTCTACAACATTTACAATGAAATCGTGTAGTTCAAAAAAACAAACTTCGGGGTTCTTTGAAACTTATTACATATTCCGTTTTTAGAAGCGAATATTTGGAAAAGAAATATTATGCTAATCTGCATTACGGGCTTGCACATGCCATCATAAATGTTTTACTTAATGGATGGACAATTTGTGAGAAAACTTTTAAAGAGAATTTTATATTTTATGCCTTTACATATGTACTTAAAATTACTCAAATTGAATTTTTTCAGTGTGCAAAGTGATGTTTATGTGTAAAGCAAGCTCGAGATGTAATTGAAGCCAAACAAACTACCTATCTGTTAAGTCTGTTTATTTGTGCGTGTATCACTTGAGGAGGCTGGATGGATGTACATTGATCTATATGGATTTTTCGGACTTAAAATATTTATAATGATTTAATTATTGGTTTTTATTGGTTAGTGAGTAAATAAAAAAAATAGTTAAACTCCATCTCGGCTAAAATATCCTCCAAATAAAAGAAACTTATTAAATTTGTTGTTGAAAACATGATTTTAATTGCAATTTTAATCAAATATTGTTTTTATAATTTTCATTATTATTGAATTCTTTCTAAATGGCCTGTTCTTTACAAATTTTATTTTAATATTAAATTTTAATTATACAAAAATGTTCATAATATGCGGAAAATTTAAAATATTTACATGCAACACTATTGACACGACCACAGCGTGATATGTATCTGTAATCATAGTCTTTGTCGGTTAATTGAATATTTTTTGGTGGTCGACGATAAAGTCAGTTTTATAACGATAAATTTCATATAATGTTGTTAAATGATTCATCATTACTTATTGAATAACTGAAAGTGGATTATTAAACCTAATTCTGATAACATTTTCAAAGGACAGACGGGCTTATGATCTTTTCTTGTTATGCTTCAAAATACATTTTTTTTTATTTCTATTGAGGTTAGAGAGATGAAAGATACAATGTAAAATTGCGATGGTTACTTTATTTTTGAACTCTTTTAATATATAGTAAAGATTTTAATTTTTGCACTACTTAGTATAAATTTAATAGAAAATATTTTTTAAATTAAATGAATAGAATTTTGATGTTACTATGTAACTCAGCTATTGACGATACTATCTATAAATTTCAAATGTCAAATGAATTCGATGTTAAAAATATATTTTTTGAATCTTTTTATATTTGAGTGCTTTAATTCTCTTTATATTCATAAAGTTTTGTTAGTAATAGTATACTGTTTATTGTTTAACCTTGGAAACAGACGATGTGAAAAATAAAAAATAATAAATGGTTTGTCTATACATAAGTAATAGACAATGATCCATAATAAATATAACCTAATTACAGTCAAGTGAAGAAATCGAATGAAGAAGAATGAATGGGTCTCTCCCGTGACCATGATTGCTGTAAAGCATTCGAAACCTCGGGAACCAAATATAATAAATCCACTAAAATCTCCGAAAAGATTGTTGTAATTAAGAACTATTTACTCACCCTCGCTTCGCTCGGGTTCGTCCCTAGCTTGATTTCCCATACAAACTTTCATCTGCATTTTCACCCTCTTAAGGGATGATTTCCGGGATAAAAAGTCCTATGTCCTTCCCAGGTTCTCAAACTATCTTATTACCAAATTTTATCTAAATCCGTTCAGTAGATCCAGAGATTACCCCCTACAACGTCATACACTCACAAACTTTACCTCTTTATAATATTAGTATAGATATACATTTTGAAATTATGAACCTACGATAGACATTAGTTAAAGCTAGTAGTATGTTTGAGTGAAGATATAATACCTGCTGCATTTACCCGTATTGTTCAAACTTAATGTTAAACCAGATTTAGAACCTCAACTGTCGCAGGCAACTTGCGGCCATTTCAACAAGTTTTATCTCCGAATCACTAGGATATTTGTAGCTAATCGTAGTTCTATAAAAGCAATGATTACTTTTTTCACCTTAGTAACTACAATAACGTGCTTTAGAAGGGGTTCCAAAAAACTTTTGCTTAATGATGACAATGAACGTCCATTTTAAAACCTTAGCGTAAAAAAGAATGTACAATTAGACGACACGTTTGGCTCAGTTTGTAATGACCATACTTGCTGCGCCAGCGATCGCGGGTTCAAGTCCCGCTGGGGGCATTCATTTGTGTGATGAGCACGAATATTTGTACTCCAGTCATGGGTATAATATGTATATATTTAAAAGTTATATATGTATATGTATAAACTATCTGGTATCCATAACAGTTAGTGGCGCCACCCGTCATGTAAACATGTCAAATCGTTGTTCCCTATTTAAATTTTATTTTAAATTAAATAAAATAGATTAAAGTGATTATATGCTTATCAAAAACGTAAATCATAGTATAAATTTGCTGTGTTAGTGTTTTCACCACATACAATTAATTAGCAACGGAGCGTTTACGCCCTTAACATCTGAACTCAAAATTAGCACTCTATTTGAATCTTATATAATATTAAAAAACAATGTGTATAATGGAAAAAGTGCTAAAGTGTTACTAAATTGTTAAACAACTCCAAAAGTTATAATAGTGCTCACTAATATTTAACAATTATAGTGTGTATCAGTGATCTTTCACATTTTTGTTGCAAACATCGATATACCCTCAAGTCCTAAATAACTTTAACATTGTCCTCCAAACTACAAGAGATTTTCACCTAAACAACTAACTGCTATTGTGGCGCAATTAGACTAATAGTGGATTGCGGTGCTGTGGTCGCGAGTTCAAACCCCAACATCGAATTGACTTTTTTCATTTCTAAAACATTTTAAAATACACTTTACTAATAAAATAGACAATGGCGAGCTCTTTAAATTCAAAAGTATGCGCTGGATGCAAAAATAATTTGCCAAAGAAGGAATATCTAAGTTGCTCGACTTGCGGATCGAAGTACGACTGTGAATGTGCAAATATATCCCAAAAACAATTCGAAAAAATGGACCAGAAGTTAAAATCCAGTTGGAAATGTCCAGAATGTTGTAGTAAACGGCCTAAGACAGGAAATACCAACACACCTGTCAGGGCAGCCATCACAAATTTGACATGCAGCAATGAATCTGTTAACGAAGAGCAACCTACAGATTCAAATATAACCATTCGAAAAAAACTTAGCAAGCCACCAACGCCTACAATGTCTGCCAGCACCGATGCCGACAGAACATCCAACTTGACAGAAAGCAACCTACGCGGCATAATAAAACAAGAACTGTCAATCACGATTAGAGAACTAGTCACAAGTCAACTAAACACAATTAATGAACAAATAACGGGATTCCACGATTGTATGACTTTTATAAACGCACAGTTTGAAGAAATGAAAGCGGCAATGGCAGAAAAATCAACTATTATCAACAATCTAAAAAAAGAAAACGATCAACTGAATGCATCGGTTAAGGATCTCACCACTAGGTTGAATATCGTAGAATCCCATTTGAGAGAATGTAATGTCGAGGTAAACGGTATACCTGAGCATAGGACAGAGAATTTGGTTAATACTATGGTGCAGCTAGGACAAGTCGTACAAAACCCTTTATCCTCGGACGACATTCAGCATGTAACTCGTGTAGCAAAGTTAAACAAAAACTCTGACAAGCCACGCTCTGTCATCGTCAAACTCCGTACAACAAAACACCGCGATGCTTTTCTGGCTGCTGTAGCGCAATTTAACAAAAAAAACCCTACTGATAAATTAAGTTCGCATCACCTAGGAATCGGTGGACCACGTGCACCTATATATGTCTCGGAACATTTAACTCCAGGAAGCAAATCTTTGCACGCCGCCGCGCGCATAAAAGCCAAGCAAATGAAATATCGCTTCACATGGATCAGAAATGGCAAAATTTATACACGGAAGGATGAATTTAGCCAGGCACTACTAATAAAGAGTGAAGATAGTCTTAAGCTTATTGTCTAAATAGTAATTATTATAAAGTGAACGTTATGGCTCTTACATCTTTACAGGCTTCGATATCTATTATCAAAATGTGCGTGGATTGAGAACTAAAACCAACGATGTGCTTAAGAATATCTTGACTACGGATTATAAAATTATTGTTTTTACCGAGACTTGGCTGAATTCTAGTGTCCGTGATAACGAACTATTTGATTCGCATTATATCGTATATAGAAAAGATCGTGCATGTTCCAATCAGTCTAAACGCGATGGAGGGGGCGTTCTGGTTGCTATCTCACGAGAGATACCTTCCTTTCGGGTTATTAGTTGGGAGACAAGCGATGCTGAGTGCATATGGCTAGTGTTAGAAACTAATAATAGACAAATAAAAAAGAGGATCGGGCTTTGTGTAGTTTATATACCTCCTCCAGTCAAGCATGAGTTAGTCAATAAGTTTCTGGAAAGCGTGGACAACGTGACTAACCACGTTGATGATTTAATAGTATTGGGGGATTTCAATATGGGTTTTATCAAATGGTGTGCTAATGATAACTGTACATATATGTCTCCGTGTAATTACAATAATGCCCTCGGACACTCATTAATTGATTTTATGTCTATAAACAATCTACATCAATTTAATTGTATAGGTAACTGTGATGATAGACACTTGGACCTAGTATTAAGTAACCTTACTGATATTACGGTAGTAAAACCTCCTGATTTACTCACTAAATTGGATACTTACCACCTAAACTTGCTTATAAGAATTGACTTTTTACACGCATGCTTCCTAAGATCCAAAGGTCGCATCGATTACAGTTACTTTAAAGCAGATTATATTCCCATTGTAAAGGAAATTAAGAATATTGATTGGTTACAAATATTTTCAGAGTGTAAAAATGTCGATGCTATGGTTGAAGTTTTTTATAATCATCTCTATAAGATAATTGATAAATTAGTTCCTAAACGTAAGTCACAGTCAGCAAAATACCCTGTTTGGTTCAATTCAAAATTAATTAAGTTAATGAAAGAAAAAGACAATCTTCATAAAAAATTCCGTAAGTACAACAACCCTCGGGACTATTTAGAATTCCAAATAATCCGAAGCCGCTGCCATAAGCTCTACGATATCTGTCACAATAATTATAAACACAACGCTGAGTCAAATATTTCCAAAAACCCAATGTATTTTTGGAATTATTTTAAACAGAAAAAGAAATGTGACTCATCTTTTCCCGCATTAATGAAGCTGGACAACAGAACTGCCAGTACCGGTACTGATATCGCTAATCTATTTGCGAATCATTTCTCCTCTATTTATACCCAAACGGCTAGTCAACATCCAATTAATAAATTACACAGAAACAGTAACATTCCACAGCTATCCAAGTTTAAATTCGTAGAGGCAGATGTGGCAAAAAAAATTAAAACATTGGATATTCAAAAGGGGACAGGTCCAGATTGTCTTCCGCCCATTTTTGTAAAACGTTGCGGTTCCGGTCTTGCATTCCCTCTCATGCTGATCTTCAATCGTTCCCTCGATGAAGGTGTATTTCCCGAAGCGTGGAAAAGAGCACGAATCGTACCAATCTTCAAAAAGGGTGATAGAATGGATGTAAAAAATTACCGTCCAATATCAATTCTGTCATGCTTTTCAAAACTGTTTGAAAGTCTCATGCATCCCATCCTCACCAAACAACTGAACAACTTCCTAACAAGCGCCCAGCATGGTTTTAGAAGCGGCTTATCAGTTACAACTAACTTGTCAACCTTCACTTCAGATCTAATAGCACAGGTAGACAAGGGACAACAGATAGACGCAATTTATACCGATTTTAGTAGCGCATTTGATAAGGTTGACCATCACATTCTGATAAACAAGCTTTCTCAATACGGGATCAGTGCCTCTTTAAATAAATGGTTTGAATCTTATCTAAGCCAGAGACCTCAGACTGTAGTAGTAAATGGGTTTGAATCTGAGAGATACATCGCTCGCTCCGGGGTACCACAGGGTTCCCATCTGGGGCCTTTGTTATTTTTAGCCTTTATAAATGACATCATCACTGAGATAAAACATTGTAAGTGCTCACTCTTCGCCGATGACCTAAAAATCTATAAAATTACAAAGTCAGACGAAGACACTAAATTAATACAAGAAGATCTCGATAGAATTACAAATTGGTGTGGCGTCAATAGTATGACTCTTAATGTTAACAAATGTTTCCATATAAAATATACTAGAAAGAAAAAACCACTTGTCTCAAGTTATTCGATTGATAATGTAGTATTAAAAGAGTTAACAGAAATCAAGGACTTAGGAGTTACTATTGACAGAAAGTTAAATTTTACATCACATATAAATAATATTATTAAAAAAGCCACGCAGTTCCTCGGATTCATTAGACGCAACACAAAAGGATTTACCCGTAGAACCAAAATTATTTTGTACAACGTGTTTGTGAGAAGTTGCCTTGAGTTTGCCAGTATCGTCTGGAATCACATACATTCCCAACGTATCGAAAGCGTACAACGCGCTTTTACAAGGTACCTTGCATTCCATGCCACTGGTATCTCACATAGACAGCCCTATAATCAGAGATTGGTTGAATTTAAAATGATGTCTCTTCGAAGCAGGCGGGAGATACTTGATCTGTGTTTCTTGCACAAAGTAATCAATTATAAAGTCAAGTGCAGCAAGCTGCTTGAACGGATTCCCTTATCAGCACCAAGTAGATATCCTCGCTATTGCAATTCTTCTCAAAAAACATTCCATATACCTTTCGCTAGAACGCATCTCGGTAAGCAATCTCCCATAGCTCGCATATGTGCTAAATATAATGAAATATCTCGAGCTCTGCCTGGCATCGACATATTTCACAACTCATATGATGTATTTAAAAAAAAACTCACCGATCATCTATCGGTGAGTCTTCATTTACATTGAAATAAATATATATGTTTATTCTTTTTTCCTTTTCCCCCCCTTAGTGTTTACATGTATTTGTTGGTGAATGTTATGTACACTAGTTATTGATATACATATCAGTGTGTGTTACTTTTCAATTTTCTTAACACGTTGTGTGTTAATGTTAAATATGTATATTGTAAGTGTGCTTATAAAAAAAATAAAAAAAAAAATAACACAAGTCTCGTAGCTTACCATGGAACTAGATGGTGATAATGTCCTGACATATTTATTTTGTTTTTATTTATTTTAATTAGTTCCTAATTAGCATGATTATTCAATAAGATTATTATAAAAGACATTGTCAATCTAACTTTTATAGTGCTTTCGTAGCCACGGGGCCAAAAAGTTCCGAGTTGTCCTTGCATACAAAGCAGCACATTGATGTAGTTTGCGTTTGAGAAATCAAACGGTACATTTTAATGCAGACAACGTACGAGTATAAGTTCTATTGCTCACAGTGTCAAGATATCCATCATGAGTTATTCATTATTTATTCATCACTTATCTTAACTTACACTAAAAATTGAGTCATTTTAAGCCAAATTATAAATGTATATAATTCACAAAAGTTTACCGCTGTTATCAAAATAAGTATATTATTATACTAGCATTGCCCGCGGCTCCGCCCTCGTTCAGATGACCAAAAACTAAATTCTTAGGTTGCATTGCACTCTTTGCATTGCAGTTTTTGTTTTTTTTTTCTCAGGACTGAAACATTTTCACGCGGTAAAAAGTATTCTATACAAAAAGTATCCTATATGTTGACCCGGATAACCAGCTATCACCATACCAAATTTCATCAAAATCCGTCCAGTGGTTTTTCTGTGATGCGGTAATAGACAGACAGACAGAGAGACAAAAATTCTAAAAACTATAGATTCTGCCTCTCTATCGATAATAATGTTTATTTCAATAAGATTATTCCAAAAAATATCTATTGTACAGATTCGGCTTAGTTACAATTTTATTATATGTATAGATTATATGTCAGAATCTATTATCGTATACTATAGTATACTATAGTCCAAAAAATCATCAAGATGATAATTGTATGAACCATGAACGTAGTAATTTTTTCAATATGTTGACAGAGCATATACATAGTAAAAATTGCAATTCTTATTATTATTCTTATTAATCTATTTTTGCTATATGTATTTAGACAAGTTATAAAAAAATACAAATTAATATATCTTTAACAGATTTATCTACCTTAGGCACTAAATTTTGTAAAGAAAACAAAAACTCGACTCAAAAAATCTCAGTTTGCTCGCGGTTAAGGAATTTGAAATAATTTACAAATTTGGAAACCCCATATGATTAAATAGTAATAAAAATTAATTTGAATGTCTGATATTCATTTAAACCAATACCCATAAAAACTAATTTACTATGCGTAGAATTACATTGTATGAATTAATAAAGTGCACAGATTTGAGGGTCTGCCTTTACTTTACCATTGTCTATTTTCTATTTCGTATAAGTTTTAATCAAATTTTTACTATTGGCCAGATGGTTAAAAAGGGAGATGTGTGAATATGTTTTTATAAATGTTAGATTTTTGATGCGCGCCAGATCTAGTTAGCGCCGTCAGATATTTTCTTTAAAGATTCAGAGATCTAAAATATGATATAAAGGATATCCTCCGAGCCAATTTCACTGAGACCAGCCGGTTGCGCATGAAATATTAGATTGCACAAGTATACACGCAAACACAAGAACACTCTCTATTCCTTTAACTTGTTGAATAAAAAACCTAGCAAAGTACAAAACAAACTTCTGTGTGTATAGTGATTAACTTAGAGATTTTTGGGAAATTTGAAAAAAAGACACATAGGCAGACGCACAGACGTATTATCCTATAAGAGATCAATTTTTCTTTTCATCGTACGAAATCTACACATATAATAAAACTGTAGAGGTCGAATGTCTGTATAGTATAGAAAAAAATGCTAAAACCGAGTCAGGGTGATGTAAGAAGAAAATAGAACAACCCCAGATTTTTTTTCGAATTTTTTGTTGTTCTGTCTGTTTGTCTGTTTGTACGGGCTACTCTCCGAAACTATTGGACCGATTTAAATAAAATTTTGCATGGTTTTACCTTACATTCCTGGTCAATATCTTAGATAC